ATTACTATTGGTAGAACAAAATGAGTCATGGGGAGTTTGTATGATTGGCAAGAGCAGCAGTTGACAGGAGCTGCTACTCTTAATGCCATAAGGACACTATGTCATCTAGATATGAAACCCTGGGCCAATCCTTTAAATTCAATCAATCATGCCAGCATTAAAGGCCTTGTAAAAAAAAAAAAAAAGGGGGCGTAAGGAAATTTTACAGATATTCCATTAACAAAAACAAAGTACAGCTCAAAGTTTCATATGATTTACTAAAACTTTATGAGCTCAGATCAGGGTAATATTCTTAGAAAGGGGTCAGAATCTTCTTAGTCTTCTGTCTCTAGCCATTAAACTAGAATCTTACTTTATCAGCTACATCATACTAAGAACAATAAACACTAAAACTAACCTAACATGAATAAGGAAGGAAGGGAAATAAAGACAGAAACCAGGAAATGGGAAAGAGAGAGTTAAAGGAAAAAAGATTACTGCATTTGGTACTAGTAGAATGCCTACCACCACTGACATGTTGTGCACTCTCTTCTCTGCCACCTATTTCTCCAGTTCTTTAAAATTTGTGAGCTCATTTTCCGAATCAAGCAAAGGGGTACCTCATTATTGTCATTAGTGAAAATGAAATGTCAACACGCTTTCACTGAACTTGTGACACATATGATACCACCATACAATTTAGAAAAAGGAGCTCCCTCCGGGAGGAACAATGAGAGAAGGGCACCTGTTCCTCTGGACTAGCCCAGGCCCTGCGCAGGGCCCCCACAGACCCCCTGAACCGGGCAAAACCTGCACAACCATGTGCAGTGGCCTTGCCTCCAACCAAGGAAATCTTGGCTAACCCTGTGGCACCGAGCACACAGCTTACTTTTAATAAGATGCTGATAGCATAGGCCATACCAGCCAATCCAGTTCCCACAATGGAGATCTTACTGTGATGAATGGCCTCCTCCGAAGTGAAATTCTGAGTAACTTCACGCTTCACGGTCGCCATCTTGGAAACCTAACAGAGCGAAGAAAAACTGCACAGCCCTTTCCAGATTTGGAATTGGTCTGTAGAGAAAGCGCGTCGGGAGAACTCCTGGGCCCCTGTGTGGAAAGATGTGCTGCAGACACAACAGGGACGGGACCCACAAATTTGACTGGCAAGGCAGCTGGGTAGTTTCTGGCCAGCAGCCCAGCATCCGCGAAGCAAAGCAGGGAAAGGAGAAGGAAGGTGGGTATGGATAAGAGGGAGTGAAGGAAAGGAAAGGGGCTACTCCGTTAAACATGAGACTACAGCTGGCATGGCTCTCCCTCCCCTCCTCCAGCTGACCACCCTTCTCTCTCCTCTTACACTCTTTCCCCGCCCCCAGCTCTCAGCTCCAGGACCCCGGCCTGCCGGGTCTGCAGGCCCAGGCGCCAGGTACTTCCAGCCACACTCACAGCGGGTAAGGGCCAGCCGCCCCAGAGCAGGCTGCATGCGCCTGGCGCGGACAAAGAGCCATCCTCAGGTGGAAACAACTGGCTCCCACGGCGCCCACGCTCTGGCCGGTTCGCGGTGCTCCCGCAAGCCAGCTCACAGCTCTCACTCAAGAGGCGAGAAAGAGAACGGAGGGACACAGCCTTGGAGCAGCCTCTCGGAGTTCGCAGGAAGTAAACAAGGGACCCGCTAACTCCCCGCCACGCCTGCCACTGCGGCTGCGCAAGACCGCGCCCAGCTCGTGCGGGCAGCACACCTGGCGCAGGTGCGGCGCCGACGCGGGCCTGGGGCACTGCGCCTGCGCCTTTGCCTGCCGCCGCCTCGCAGCCTCGTGCCGGTGGGCGTGCTGATCTTTCCGCGGTCCGCGGGCCTCAGCTAGCGCGCGCGGTACTGTTTCCCAGAACCCAAGCACTAGAGAGCCAGGTAGTTTTACTTCTAACCAGACCTTGTCTGCATGTATCCAAAAAGAGCTGTTTAACCCCCATTTGGAAATTTATCGCCAGTGCTGTAGGAGAAAGGGACCTCAGGGCTTTTCACCACCTCAAATGTGAGATGAAGTAGAAAAAATAATATTTAAAAACCCTCTATGCAAAGGGAATTTTGAAATTAGATATGAAACCCTAAGAATTTGATCAGTGGAGTGCTAATTCATAACCATTTCTACAAGTGGAAGGGAAAGCTCAACTCATTAAGTAGTTAAATGTAGAATCCAAAATTAGTCTGTAATGAATCAAGGTTTCTACTTCTCTTCTCCCACCACATTTTACGTAATTATGTTTTCCAACTCATTTATAATCAAAAATACATACACATTTGATAAATTCTTTTATAAAATGTAGAGCAGCGTTTCTCTTTTTTCATTATCGACCTCCTCAGGAGCCTTTTTTGACATTCCCCCCCCATTGTGAAATTAAATATTAAGGAATAAGATTTCTCAGGTAGGATTGAGCTTTAGCGTGACAAACCCTTGTAATAGCTAAGATTTTTTTCACACACACCCCCAAGAACCAATTTTCACTCCCTTGGGGACTATACTGTCCTGTTGCGAATATGAGATATAGAGCAGTTTTACTTCCTAGAACAGTCTCTTTAGAAACTATATATATTTTTCAACTTTTCAATCTTTGCAAGGATTTCCTAAAATGAAGTTTTAATTTGGTGTACAAACGGGAGTTTTTAAAAAAGGCAAAACTGAGGCTGGGCGCAGCGGCTCACACCTGTAATCCTAGCACTCTGGGAGGCCGAGGCAGGTGGATTGCTCAAGGTCAGGAGTTCGAGACCAGCCTGAGCAAGAGCGAGACCCCCGTCTCTACTAAAAAATAGAAAGAAATGATCTGGACAACTAAAAATATATAGAGAGAGAAAAAAATTAGCCGGGCATGGTGGCGCATGCCTGTAGTCCCAGCTACTCGGGAGGCTGAGGCAGAAGGATCGCTTGAGCCCAGGAATTTGAGGTTGCAGTGAGCTATGATGATGCCACTGCACTCTAGCCAGGGTGACAGAGTGAGACTCAGTCTCAAAAAGAAAAAAAAGCAAAACCCACAGAAGACTCCACTTGCCTCCATCCTAACTAAATTAAACTCAACCATATTTTATGCATTCAAGGGAACACATGAAGAAAAAGGAGAAGAACAAAATACTAAGCATGTTCAGTAGTAGATGACTAGAATGAAAGCTATCAAGACAGCAAGAATAACAGACTATGAGGGTGGACCGTGACTCTCTGACAAAATGAGTGTGCCTCCACTAGAACCATGGAAGTCCTCAGGGCCTGCGTATCTGCCTTCCAATTTTTCCCACTGATCCTGTCCTGTCTTAATTTGTAAATTACCTTGGTCCTAATCTCTTAGTATTTGTTTCATGGTATATTTCCTATAGCTACCTTAAATTATTTGTAGAATCAAGGAAATATATGTACGTATGTATGTATATGTTTATACTGTATAAATCACAAGAAACACATGCACTCCTACATTGGACACTAAGAAGGAGCTACCAATTGACTGTTATCAGCATTAGTCAATAATCAATTAGTTGAGGTATCCGAAATGCTCATTGTGGATACTTAAGGGTGGAGATGATATTTTATTGACCTCGTAACCATAACATAGCAAACATAGTAGTTTACTGAACAAATGACCCAGAAGATGGTCTAAGCTCCTGAGACACCGAATCAATTATTTGAGTTTATATGAACTGCTATAATACTTGCAGAGTTGAATATATCATCTCGTTTAAAATTTTTTACATCATAAAGTTATATCTATATTTTCTGATATATATCTTCTCAAAAATAAGTAATAAGGCATGGTGGCTCATACCTATAATCCTAGCACTCTGGGAGGCCAAGGCAGGAGGATTGCTTGAGCTCGAGAGTTCAAGACTAGCCCAAGCAAGAGCAAGACCCCTGTCTCTTCAGAAATAAACAGAAAAATTAGCTAGGTGGGTGGTGCATGCCTGTAGTCCCAGCTATTCGGGAGGCTGAGACAGGAGGATCACTTGAGCCCAAGAGTTTGAGACCAGCCTGGGCTACACAGCAAGACTCCATCTCTACAAAAAAATTTAAAAATTAGCCTGGAATGGTGGCATGTGCCTGTAGTCCTAGCTACTTGGGAGGCTCGGGCAGGAGGATGGTTCGAGCTCCAAAGTTCAAGGCTGCAGAGAGCTATAATCGAGCCACTACACTCCAGCCTGGGAACAGAGCAAGACCCCGTCTCTAAAAAAAAACAAAACAAAACAAAAAACAGAAAGAAAAGAAATTTCAGTACTAGAAAAAGGGCTTGGTTTTTTTGTTTTGTTTGAGACGGAGTCTTGCTCAGTGGCCCCTGGCTAAAGTGAAATGTCATCATCATAGCTCACTGCAACCTCAAACTCCTGGGCTCAAGCCATCCTCCTGTCTCAGCCTCCCAAGTAGCTGGGACTACAGGTGTGAACTACCATGCCTGGCTAATTTTTCTATTTTTAGTAGAGATGGAGTGTCACTCTTGCTCAGGCTGGTCTCGAACTGCTCAAGTGATCCTCCGGCCTTGGCCTCCCAGAGTGCTAGGATTATAGGCATGAGCCACCACGCCAGCCAGGCTTGTTGTTTTGTAAGAATTTAAAATTCTATATTATAATGGGTATTATACATATTCTACTTCACCTGAAGGCAACTCTTACATATATAACATACTTCACAAGTATAGCTTACACCTGTACAGAGTATCACGTGACTAGAGCTATCAAGGATTCATAAAGAGGAGAAATCTGTTTACAGTTTCTTTTTTCTAACCTTGAAAGACTGGATTTATGTCATAGGTCTCCAATTTTTTTTATTTTTTACAGATCAGATGAAAATACTTTTATAATGTAAAATATACAATCTCCTATCTTTTGTTCTATAAAATAGTGGAACACTAAAAGGTTTTAAAATACTAGGTCCTTTTGGATATTCCAAAGTGTATTCGCGCTCTGCTTGAAAAGGGCCTCCTCCTCAGAATTCAGGGTGATTTTCACAACATCTGAGATACCATTCCGACCCAAGATGCAAGGGATACTGAGAAAGATTTCTTCTTTTATTCCATATAATCCCTGAAAGGCAAGATTAGATTATTGTTCAGTAACCTGATATGGAAAAGCAGCTGTGCAAGCTTCAGAATAAGAGTATACATGCATAGGAGAGACTGTGGTGCTCAACAAGAATCACCTGGAGGGTAGCAGAGTAATTGTCAGCAAAAGTGAGAGCATCCTCATGTCCCATGTATGTCTCATACAAAATATCATGTGGAACTTAACATTCAGTGACAAGAAGAACATGCCAGAGGCGTTTAAAAGGATCAAGAAGGGGGCTAGGTGCAGTGGCTCACACCTGTAATCCTAGCACTTTGGGAGGCTGAGGGTGGAGCATAGCTTGTGGCCAGAAGTTCAAGACCAGGCTGAGCAAGAGTCAGACCCCACTTCTACAAAAAATAGAAAAATCAGCCGGGCATGGTGGTGCTCACTTGTAGTCCCAGCTACTTGGGAGGCTGAGGCAGGAGGATTGCTTGAGCCCAGGAGTTTGAGGTTGCAGTGAGCTGT